GGTGGAAGGGGGAGTGGTGGCAGGTGGCAGGTGGCAGGTGGCATGGTGGCAGGTGGCAGGTGGCAGGTGGCAGGTGGCTGGGGCGCTGGACTCCCACATGGCCGACTGAGTCCAAGTCCTGGACCTGGCCGCTTGCTTTCCCTCTTTCTGTTTCCCTCTCTCCCTCCCTCTCTCTGTGCCCCTCTCTGATCAAATTAAAATGAATGAATAAATGAATGATTTAAAAAAAAAAGTAATAGAAAAAAAAGTCACAAGAGACTGGGACCGACAGAGGGTGGCATGTTGCCTCTAGGACTCCCGATAGCCGACTGCAGTTCGAGTCCCAGGCCTGGTGACTTACGACTCACACCAGGGGCCAGCAAGTGGCATGGTGGTTAAGGGCACTGGACTCCCACCCAGTCTACTGTGGGTCACGTCCGGTGCCTGGTGGCTTGAAATTCACACCAGGGGCTTGTGTGTGCGTGCCCAAGAACCCGAGGGGTAAATGAAGGGACAGCGCCGCGGAACCCCGGGGGTGACGTCTCCCTCTCGCTGTCTCTCCAGCGGGCACGAGTCTCTCCCCTATGGCAACGAGTGAGTAGCAAGCAGTGTCTCCATGCACTCGGCCCGGCCCCCCTCACACCCCGTGCCGCAGCCATGGTCCGCGTGGGCCCCGGCCTACCTCACGAGCCGCGAGCCGTTGCTCTCCTGGGGGTCCTGAGTGGCTCCCGGGCACTGCCGAGCCTGGACCGCCGCGTCCTCTGCCTGCCGCCCACCCTCCGCCCACCCTCCTCTCATCGTAAAGCCGTCGCAGAAGTGGGACCTCGGAACCCGTGGCCTGTAGGGACCGGCTCTCCTGCCCGGCACCACTCCTGGTCATCAGGATTATAAGCACGCCGTGGGCCAGGGTTGGCCTAGCTTCCAGCACGTCGCTCGCTTTTTAAATTAAACTAATCATCGAATTTATTGAGGTCATAAGATACAGGTCACTAAATAAAAATCGATGGTGTTTCCATGTTGGCAATGAACAATTAGTCATTTTAAAAATTATTCAACTGTATTTATTTAGTCTAATTTGACCAGAGAGGGAAGGAGAGGGACAGAAAGTGAAAAAATGAAGCCGCGAGGCCCAGTGGCTCCAGGCCCAGCTGGCGGCTTGAAAAACGCGTGGTCAGCCCCGCCTACCGGGGGGACCCGGGCGCGGTCAGCCCTGCCCTGCAGGAGGTGCCGTGTCTGGACACTGCAGGCAGGCGTGGCAGTGGACAGAGACCCTCTGCAAGGCAGTCTGTGGGGGTCCCAGTTCATGTCCAGGGGTCTCTGAGCACCTTGGGCCATGATCCAGCCAGCTGTGGCTACTGTCTCTCTGTCTCTCTTTCTCTGTCTCCTTCACTCATGGAAAACAAATGTTTAATTAAAAAACTAAAAACTAAAAAATCTGGGGACCAGCAGATGGCGAAATGGTTACGTCCCTGGACTCCCACACAGTCAACTGTGGTTCAAGTCCCGGACCTGGTGGCCTAAACTTCACGCCGTGGGCACGTGCGCCCAAGATCCTGAGAGGATGGAGAAGGGACTGTGGCACGGCCATCCCCCGGGGGGCGAGACCCTGCTTTTCGCCTGCCTCTCTGCCTCTCTGTCCCCTAGCCAGCACACATGCCCTCTCCAAAGAAAAGAAAATTAAAACTACAGAAAGCGGCGCCTGCGGCCTGGTGGTTAAGGGGCAGGACCCACGTGGCCGCCCACGTGGCTTGAATGCATGGCAAAGGCCCAGGCTGCGGGAAGGGGAAGGGAACTGCGGCTGGCTGGGGTGCCCAAGGGGCAGCACCGGGTGAGCGCACGCCCCCCCCCCCCCCAATCAAAAAAATAAGGACGCAGTGGCCTGGGCCCAGCCTGTCGGTGCGGTTTTGTCACCGGGGCTCCTATTTGACTTTTGGGACCGACAGAGACAGTGCACAAGGGGCAGGCCCCCGAGCTGGGGTGGCCTCAGCACTCACACCCCAGCCTGAACCACGCGGACACCCTGCCCACAGGTGGGAGCCACCGGGGCACGGTCCTCCACGGGTCGAGGAAGGGGCCCCCAGCGCCACTGCCCGCCCGACGCGGCATGGGCCTCAGGGACGGGCGTCCAGCTGGCGGAGCGTGCGCCGTGTGGGCACGGCCGTGGCTTCTCCCATGTGCCGCTGCTCACGTCACGGCTGGCCTTGCGGGTTACGGCCGAGCTTTGGGGGAAAGCGGGACACCTGGGCCACTCCTGTCCCTTCTCTACGCCACCCCATCCCTGGGCGCCGTGGCCATTGGAGCAGCAGCCCCTGCGGGGCCCCCTGGGCGCTCCGGGCACAGCAGCATCGCTGATGTCACGCGCTCCAAGCCCGGGGCAGCCCCGGCCGGGTCACCCACTGATGTCCCCAGGTGTGGCCGAGTGTCCCCTGGGGGTCTCCAACCCCATAAAGAATGGCTGCTCCAGAGAAGGGTCCACTCAGCAGTCAGGCTAAGGGATCCGGATCGCACATGCCAACCGCGCTTTGAATCCCAGCCCCGGAACCTTGGAAACCACCCCCAGAGAGAGGCCGACAGCACAGCTCCCAGCTTTCTTTAATGAGGAAAGAGCAGAGCCCAAGACAAGCCTGGGGCGGGGCCTGGGCGGGGCCTGGGGCGGGCCGGG